TTTGCACCTAAATCTTCCAAAGTCTTATTATAGATATAATGCATAGCTGGCAGGTCCAATAGAGAGTTTTATATGGGTAATCACAGCAGAAAATGTGGTTTTGCAGCAGCACAGCCAAGCAGAAAGAAGAAGGGGAGTTTGAGCACACTAAGTTAGATCTCTCCCTGTAAATAGGTAACGTTGAGCTTTATGAAAGGACCAAAATATGAAATCAATCATAGAAAGGAGATTAGATCACCTGGGCCAAAAATAAAAGAAATTTTCAAAAACCCAATCATCAAATACTTTTTTGATAAATTATATACATTTGAACCTGGAGAGACTGACACGGATAAAAAGCAGTAATTAATACCTTTTAATGACATGAAAATAATAATAAGCCTTTCGCAATTAGAGTGCAGATGCGGAATGCAGTTCTGCATAATTAGTTGGGGCTAGGTTAGAGGCTTCTATTGCTCCGGTGTCTTCGGTGGAACGGAGGCTGAGGGGAGGAGGAGGAGGGATGCTGTTCTGTAGCAGGAATTGAAGATGCCTTGGACAGAAACTGGCTTATATTATGAAGGCAGGGAGCTGTACTGGTAGTTTGGATGATGAGATTTTGCAGGTGAACCTTCCAGGTTGAATCAGCACCTTTTTTTTTATTTATTTTTTTTTAAGATTTCAATTGTTACTCTCTAATTTAATATTTTTTTTCCTATTAGGCATTTGGTACTAAGTAAGCTTACAGGTCATTTATTTAACTCTATTAAAAGTGCATACAGAAAAAAGTATTTAGGAAATGTTTCATTTGTCTCAGACCATTCTTGTTGCTGTACTTAATCATCGTTAATTTTTCCAGCTTTTTCCCCAAGAGGCCTTGCATGAATAAATACCAAAAGAATACATTGGGACAAACATGTAAAGTGATTAATTTACTATTGTAGTGTGCACATTTTTTGATGTTTTTGACACTTGTAAATTAAATATAAGAATGAAAAAACCTTCTGGCAATATTTTACTATAAATTTATAGAAGCTTGTAGCACATCGGTGCATACAAATCTTGATTTAAACTTTTTTAGCCAAGTCAAAACAGGGAACATAGTTAAGGAGTGTATTTCTTCATGTTTTGATTTTAAAACAGCTGTTCGGTGCTGATAGACTATAAAAATACAATCTATGACATATCAAGCTCCTTGGGCTCATCCCATTGGTCCTAAAGAATGCATCCCTCATGGGATCCCAGTCAGAGCTCGGAGGAATGCCTGTGTCACTGTCAGTCATGCTTGTGTACATGCTGCTCACACCCATCTTCTGCACAGTGTGTGCCATTGTTCAAGCTCAAGATAGACGGTGTGCTACTGTCATGCCATTCTGGACTTTTTGGAGCTTGCTAAGTTTGCTCCGTTTGCTAAGGAGGTAACAGTTTGCTCCTGTTCTATGAGACATTGTTGAGTGTTTAAACCGGAATGAGTACAAGACTTTAAAATGTAATTGAAAGTAATATGTAATGTGATTTATTCAAGAAATAAATTATAAATAGATCACTTAGATTTGCTGTGCATGCCTTTATTTCTGATAGAAGAGATGGCACATTTATCGTTATCGAAGTAAAACTGCTCATTTTACCATGATATTGATTTAAGGTCATATCTTCCAGCCCTAACTCAATCACTCCAGTCTACTGCTTTCCAGTATAGGTGAGGATTATGAAGAGTAAGTCAAGAGGTACCCTAAAACATTGGGAAATTGGGGTGAAAAGATCAGGGGGAAAAAATGACTTATTCAACATGATTGCCTGACACCAGAATTTTTACTGGTTCATTTCAGTGTGTGATTGCATGCAGATAACTTCCATGTAGAGCTGAGACATGAAGTGGTTCAAGTTGGCGTACAACAGGAAGAAGTAATGTTCAGCTACATTGTTATCCATAAGGCTTAGTTCACAACCAGAATCCATGAAAGCAAAAGAGGGAAATGGTTGATTTAATGGTAGAAATAAGGCTAATGCTAAGCGGAAGGATCTGTTCTTAAGACTGCCCATTGGTCCCTTTAGAATGCTGGTCTAATTGCTATTGCATAATGAATGCTCTTTCAAGGACTGAGCTAATCCTTCCTGAACCTCCTCAGTCATCTTGCAGTGCAGGGTTAAAAGCTCCGTAGTGGCTTAGTCTTCTTGGAGCCCTCTGTAGAACAGTCTGCTGATGGCCAGAGCTACTTTAGAATCAACCTCAAGAGAGACTTTTAGATTGGAAATAACTTTGCCTGTCATTGTGATCAAAGTTCTGGGAGAAAAAGATTTTCCTTATTATAACTTAAAGGATCTTGTCTTTATTTATAAGATATACACCTATATAAAGTAGAGCTCTACAGTCATATTCAGTCAATAAATGTACTGTATGCATTCCAATGAAATTCCTTTGGCAAATTAAAAATACCTGTAAAAAAGCACAACAGCCATTATTCAAGTGTTAATAAAGTAAACATATTCAAACATACTTTTCAATATTTCAGTATTAAAGATGTTTTTAATTGGACTGATTAAAATAACAAATGTGGTTTGATTAAACGTTATTATTATGAAAAATCTATATTGTTTCAGTATTATCTGACCTTAAAGGATGAGACTGTCTAAAAATCCAATTCAGTAAATCTTTTTTGGACTAAGATGGTTTTGCGCAGAAAACGAAATAAATACCTTGAATGATGTCTAAACAACATCGAAGGCTAATTGATTAAGATTGCCAACACTGTTTACAGTCTTTTCTTTCTTCCAGGTTGGAAGAAGCTTCATCATTCATCATTGCTGAAGTAGTATCACATAGTAACATTTTGTGCATACCATAGAATTAGGACATGATGGTTCGCTTTTCAAAAATCTTAAGTCATGTATGCATTTTGCCACAGGGCAACCACAAACTCTAATCTTGATAGAATGAAATGTGATGGAATGAAGCAAAGAGCATAACCATTATTTTTGCATATAAAAATAGGAAGTGTTGTCTGTTGTTACATTTGACTTCAGCAGACCACAAAATGATTCAAAATGCTTGTAATTTAGTGTAGAGCTCTGTGAAAACCTTATTTGTTCGAGAATTGAGAATATTGCTGAAAACATAACACTAAAAAAGCACATCAGACTAGTGAAGTATTAAGTTGTGGAGAAGCTTAAAGCAGAATTAGCTTCTTAGGAAATATCCAAAACATTTTATATTTTTTAAGGCACTCTTTAATTCTACATCTTAAAATGAAACGATGGAACAACCTCAAACCTAAGAAGACATGGCCATCTGCATTAATTTAGAGGCTAAGCATGGAGAGCAGTATTTAGAGACCGCAAGGAGGCCCATAGTAACTTTAGAATTAAAGGAGAGTGGCAAGTTTGTCACATCTTTAAAGAATTACATTTGTAGTTTGCCTCAAGTCATGTAAACACAAGAGACCTGTAAACAAAGGTGTACCAGTCAAATTAGACAAACATTGATCTTTTAGGCATACATACTAAACATAAGAGGCTTGACTTTAAAAAGGTTTGCAAGCATCAAAACATGTGTTAACTTGAAAAAAGGTGCAATTTTTTTACTCTTATAGCAGCACTTTGAGATACCTACATGTAAGGAACATTATAGATAATATTAACCATTTTAATTGTTATTATTGTAACCCATGCATGACAATGTGTTAATTGTGATTTCTTTTAGAAATGCAAAAAAAACTGTAATGTTTCTGTGCTTAAAAAGGCACAGACACTATATAAAATGGCAGGGATTTATATTTTAATATGCATGGGGTTGAGGTTTAAATGTTGGTTTTGGTAGCTTTGATTAATGAAACCACTGCAGTGATTTTTAAACTGGTCAAAATCTGTAATGCTGTGCACATATCTGTTCATTTCTACTGATTGCTGTCATAATCATAGACCCGGGCTTCCTTAAACAGGCAGATTATATTTTTCTTGTGAATGATACAGCAGAGACTGGGGTGTTTTTGAATCTTTTCACTCTAGAACCCATTTTTAAATTGTGCTGTAGTTGGACAAAACATGTGGTGCACATGAACAATAGAAAATGCAAAAAAATATCTAATACTCTGAACACAACATCATCATCAGGGAACATAACTGGTTCAGCATCATGCATTTTTTATTTCCAAGAGGGTCAAAATACGTGTTAATACTAGTGAAAAACAAAATCAAGGACAAAAAACAAACAAACCCTCAGATCCAACAAGAAATTAGTATGGTTAACCTAGAGCTCACCTATGTTAATAGTATTAATAATGTATTGGAATGTTCCAGTCAAAGTATGCAGCCAAATAATAAAAAAAATAGGAAAAAACAAAAAATGCTTTTTATCCAATCCCTCTTATGTTATTTTATTATTTTTTTATTATTATATATTTTTATTTGTAATATATATATATTAAAAAAGGATTTTCTTTGATGAAAAAATATTAACTTTTTCCCTTTTCCTTACAAAACAAGGATAAACCATTATTCTTGCTTTGCTGATTAATTTATAAGTGATTTGTTTTAGTTTGTCTTGACTCTTTTAAAGCCAAATATTGCTTCTTTGTATTGAAGGCAATCTTTGTTTTGTTCTGAGTGCTTGCAATGGTTTTAGAAGGGTCCTTGGAAATAATATTGCCAACACAGGAGAAGTACTTCAAGTCATGTTTCAATTCATCTGCTGAATCACAAGTCAGGACATTCACTACTAGGTTTTCTTGTTTTGACACTTGTGCACTATTGCACTAAAGAAAGTCCATTTAAGTATTTTATCTCGAGGAGACACTTGAGAAGCGATCAGTTTCTGCAAGGGGCTTTCAAGCTTGCATTTCCCCTATGGACCTTTAGAGCTGTCAACAGTCCAGCAAAAAAGAAAAATAGATAAATAAAATGTATTAAAAGATGTAAAGAAAAGCATGATCTAACTGTCCCTTGAGTTCTGTGATTAATGGCATGAACTCTGCCAGTCATATCTGGTCTAAAAACAGATTTTCTGCCTTTCTCATCGTTCACAGGTTCAGGGCGAAAACACAGTGCCTCTCACTGGCGTCTGCAGAACATCGCCCAAGAATCAGTCGAAAGCTCAGATGAGGAGTTCTTCGATGCCAGAGGTAAGATCGTATATAAGATAACTCGAGAGGAGTATTAACGATTATGAAATTAAGAGAGCTGCATAAGGAAATGCATCTGTGCTGCAGGCAGAGCTGTTGTTCCTCAGATATTAAAGATTGATGGGGGTCTTAAATCCACTGAAGCTCATTTTAAATATGATAATTAAAAAAAACATTTTAGTTGTTATTTTGGATCCACCTTTTAGATTCTTTAGGATCCAGTTTGTTAGATTTATTGCTAATCCTTTGTTGCTTACATGCAACATGATTCAAAACAAGAAGATGATTCATAATATTTTATTTTCTGTAAAAGAAAACCCTATTATGTGTTGAAATGGCTTAAATGGATCTTTCCCGTGACGTCATTTAATATCTCTGGATCTGCGAATATGCAAAGCAGGCAGGTCTTTATGTCCTTCTCTTGCACTGCTGCAGCTGCTGACCCTCCACTCAGCTTCCACACTCTTGACTCCTTGTCTTGATGATCTTATCAGTAGTGTGAAGAAGGTCCCTTTGGCATGAAGCCATAAAGCTGCTGTAATGGTTACTCAGGCTGCGACATAAAAATCCCAGACAGCTGCTCAATGTGCAGATCTAATGATATGTTAATTAAACTCTTTTCTCAGTATTAGTTAGATGTATTAACCAAGCTGTGTCTCAGGCCCTTTAAAAGGGAATTGGAAAGTCAAAGAAACACCACAGAATAACTGTGTTTAAAGGAATCCAGATTTTTAGTTCAAAAGTTGCAGATGGTCTTGAGGTTAAGGTTTCCAAGTCTTTGTTTAAAATATAAACACTTATCTGCACCTTCCACGTCATTTTTTGTCTTACTTAGGATTTCTTAAAGTGCAGCAGTGATCAAATACAAAAATTGGGAGAAAAAAAAAACATGGTGCAAAAAAAA